CCAACCTCTATATCCTTCCTTTTATTAAGCAGCAGTCAGAGGAATCATGATACAAAGTCACACCAAGTCATTCATTCTCTCCACCTAAAAAACTCCAATGGCTTCCGGGTTCACTAAAAGAAAGATCTAAACTCTTTTACTAAAGGTCTTGCATGATCTGGTCTTTGTTTACCATCACAAGCTAGAACTGTGAGAATCTTCCTCTTGCTTTCTTACTACCTTCATGGAACTCCCTTTCCCGGACTCCCTTCATTGCCTATATCACACTAAATTCTTATCTACCTTAGGATCCTTAAACTTGCCTTTTTGTTCTATCTGAGAACAACTATTGCTTACCTTTTCTATATCTGTCACCCTTAGGTCTCAGCTTAAGAGACTTTCTTGACCACTGTGCTGAAATAGACCCCTTATCCAATTTATTCTCTACCTTAGCATGCTATTGGATTGTCCCACGGGGAGATCTTTAATTATTTAGTTGTTTCTCTGTAGTTTTATCTCTCTACTACACTGTTTAGCCATATAGTTCACGAGGGCCTGTGTCTGATTCAGAATTACATCTTTACAAGCTCACATTGTTCCTGATACATAGTGGTCTCAATAGGTATTGGTTAAACAAATGAATGCGTAAGTGGGTGTGACAAATCAAAAGAGAATGAAGCTTTATTTTTCGGTCACCCTGTGGATTTTAAGTGTTCTTTCGTCTATATACTTTCAAAAATATATTCTCTGTAGACTCAATAAAGCTAGCACAAGGTTAGTGCATTAATTTAATTTTCAGGTTAGGATATGGATCATGTGAAACATTGCAAGAATATTTTTATTTCTATAGTAAAGATGTTCCAAATATACCAAAGTATATATACTTCTCCATATTTGCTTTCCCATTTTAAAATGTTATTAAAGCTTTAGAATAAAAGTTCTCATTTCACTCCTTTGAGGGAAATGTAGTTTTGCTTATTTTAATAACCTAATTAGAAACAAGAAGGTATGTTAATGAAAATTCCACTCTTGGTAAACAGAGGATGTTTTGAAAAAGCCTTAGAAGTGGATGTCGCAATAGACCAGCTGCCTGGTGTATTAGTGGCCTTGTCTATGAGTAGTTTTAGGGTTCTTGAGAGCAATTCATTGGAACTTTTCTCAGCCTCCCCTCTAAGATAGGGAGGATGCCCACCCTGCTTATCTCTGCTAATCTTATTAAGCATTATATGCAAAAAGGTTTTGGGGCACCCAGGAAGCTCAGCTGGTTAAACGTGGGACCCTTGATTTTCACTGGGGTCATGATCTCACGTGAGTCTGAGCCCCACATCCGGCTCTGCGCTGACAGTGAGGAGCCTGCTTGGGATTCTCTCTCTCTCTCTCTCTCTCTCTCTCTCTCTCCCTCTCTCTCTCTCTCTTTCTCCCTCTCTTTCTCAAAATAAATAAATAAACTTAAAAAAATGATTCAAAACTATAGAGGACTCCACTAATGTGGAGTTCTACTATGTTGGTGAGCAACCTTGCAAAACTGACCTAATGGTCAGTTCCCATTTCAGGGAGTTTGTGCAAGAGGATCTAAGGCAACTGTCTCTAATGGAAGCATTTATTATTCCAGACCACGTGCCTCAAAAGATGGAAATGCACAAAGGTAGCGTAATCCGGCAGTAAAATGGAAGTGGGTAAGGGCTGACTTCCTAAACGATCTCCTGGTGGTTAGCTATGCATTTTTAAGACCACATGTAACAGTGTGGAAAGTGGCTAAGAGCACAGGGGACTGATTTTCTAGCTTCTTTGTGGAGAGCTTCACTTGTGAGCCACTTCTAAGCAGGTGCAAGCTACTTCAGGATGACGGCAGACTGATTTGTCAGAGGCCAAAAGAACTATGCCCCTTCAGAAGTCCCAATCTGGCTTCTCTCACCATGCCTCCTTCCTTCTCTTCTCACCTTTTCCCCTTTTCTTCTCCAATGGGAGAACGTGGGAGACAAGGGAGAGGAGACCCTGGAGGGATGAAAAGAAGAGAACCATTTCAGTTCCTTTTACTTCCCGGTTGCAAGCTGTGCTGCTGAGTTAAAAATATGTAATTTAGTTTCCAAATCTATTCCAACCCCTGCCGGCCTACTGAGCAATCACAAACCATCCAATTTCAATTCAAATCTTTGCTTTTAGCTTTATTTGAAATGGAACACAGCTAAGTTGTATAAACAGATATAAAGTAAACGCTCTACAAAGAGCAGAAGTGGGATTAAAGGAACCAGGAAGTAAATCTGTATTTATAGCATACCGGTCAAAATCCGAATTGTTTTCATTTTATTTTTAAAATGCCAAACTTGCCACAAAGTACTGAAATGTCAAAGAAGGGACCAAACTTGCAGCACATCCAAGAGTCTGTGCTAAGTGTGAGTTTTCTTATTATTTTCAGCGATGCTTGTTTATAACATCCTGTAAACAGATTACACAGTTTTCTGCAGGTGAGAATTACTATCCCTCTGTCATGTTTGGAACGCTGTGAATTTACAGAGAATGACCCATTTCTAAAAAGATGAATCACATTTACCACAAATATTTATGAGCATAGCCCAAAAATTGTGTGACACCGTACATTTTTAATGATTAATCAACTGCTAACACTCGAAGTAACATGAATTCCACCTCTTCCCATAAAGCTATAAAAGTATTTCCAGGTGGGTAATGTACATCACCTAGCAGTGACAAGTAAGATGACTAATAATGCCCTTGAGACATTTCAGCCATATTGCAGCTGGCCAAAATCCAGTAATGGCTCATGTTGACTGATTTCATTCATTTTATTGTCTATATAATATCATGGGAGAGGATAGCTGGTTCAAAAGGATTCATCCGCAACGGACACCTTCTTCTTTTTGAGTTATACTTGCATTATAACCAACGGGGGAGATACTATTGTAACTTTTGCCATTTAATAATAAAACCATACCATTTCAGTTGTAACTTTTCACTTTAATTTATGTGCAGGTACATCAATTCTCCAATAAATATTTAAACTCCTGTGATTTCGTATTTCTGTTATTCTTCCCCCTTACTTCAAATGTCATGTTTAAAACTTTTACGGGCAGATAAATCCTCTTTTATGGAGACAATATAGTCTTCACATTGTCTGAAATATTCTCGGCAAATTTTTTTCTTGGGGGGGTGGGATATATAGTGATAACTTCCCCATCACTTGTGAAAGATCATGCGCTGGCAAATGATTCACTTCTGTAAGGAAGCCTCTTTCCCGATTTGCACGGAGGCAAATGCAGTGCGGAGCATCCTACTGCTGAGGCAATGTGAGGAGAACCTTTCATCCTTCTCATCCATATTTGTCACTGTCAACACGCCAAAAAATCAATTAATACCCTCAATGGCCCCCTAGCACCTTCTCAATAAAATCCAGAAAAAAAGTTGGGGATCAGAAAGCCTGATTCCAGACAACCATTAATATGCTATGTGTCCCTGTAAAATCACTTTCCATTTCTAATCTTCAGTGTCCCCATTTGTCAAATGAGGAGAACCAGACTAGTCAGACTCCAAAGAATCATCCAGCTCCACTCTATCCAATTCTGTTTTACTTCTGATAATTCTTTCAAACCACAGACAGTGTCTAATTCTGTCTTCATTCCCAGGACTGTCCTACTCCCGTTCACTTTCTCTATTCTCTCATCATCCTATCTCTTATACACTCTCAGGAGGAAGCTTGAAGTCCCCTGTGCTGCTAACATCATGTGATGCTCACCACATAGCATCTGATATCATCTCCATCTTCATGGGTTTGTCTCTTATAAATATACAACCTGACCTGGGTTCACATCCTGCCCATGCCACTTACCAACTGTGAACTTGAACTGGTTACTTAGCCTCCCAAGCCTAAATTTCTTCATCTATAAAATGGGGATGGTAATAACTTACTCTCAGTAATGCCTATAAAATGCCTGGTGAATATGCCAATTCAAATAAATAAATAAATAAATAAATAAATAAATAAATACAATATTAGTGCTTATTATTGTTACTCCTACTCCTACTCCTACTCCTACTCGAGGCTCTTTTAAGACACAGCCTAGGTCTTGATCAACTCATTTCCCAGTAGGCTCAGAGTAGTTGGAAAGAAGAGGGACTTGGTGGTCGGGTCCTGAACTGACACTTGGGGTGAAGTCACGTGTTCTCCCTGAACTGGACCCAGCGGGTGTCTGAGGTTAAGAATTGTATCTTCAGATTCTGTGAACACAGTGCCTAGCAAAATGCTTGCCACATAAATTCTCATTATATAAGCAAATGGAATATGAATATGAAAAAGAGCAACCGTAGGGTTAATGGATGCGCAGTAGGGTTAATTAGAGCTACTGTAAAATACTTAAGGAAGAAATAAAGCTGAAACACCTCTAACTCCAAAGTCTTGGGAGGGAAGTAAATGACCTCTCCCCAAATGAAGTAAAAATTGATCCCACTGTGTAAGAGAACAGGAAAGGACTGGGTTCTCTAGCAGAGCAGGCAGCTTCGTGCCCCAGATTCTTGTCCTAGGTAGAGCACGGTGGCGAGGTTTTGGCAGAGGAACAAATACCACGTGGGAGGACAAGGGACTTCGGATCAGTTGCCTCAAGTACAACCAGCTCTGAGCGAAGCGGCCAGGTGCAGGGGAAGTCCGTTCTCAGGGCGCAGCGCAGCTGGGCAGCCGAGCCCCACGTTCCCGTTTTTGACTCTTTCTTTCCAACCTCCCCCACCCAGCAGTCAGGTCCCGGAAGGTAATTAGTGTGGGGGAGAGGCAAAGCTTCTGAGTCTGCAGGGAGATGGGAAAGTAAGGGTGGAGGCGGTCTTCTTGTCAGAGGTCTCATCAAGGTGGGGGGGCGGGGAGAGAGAGGAAGGGAGGGAGGGAGGGAGAGAGAGAGAGGGGAAGAGATTTTCCATTTTTGCACTCGAGGCATACCTAATGATATTCCCACAGACAGACAGACAGGCAGACCGAGAGAGGGACAGACAGGACACACTTGAGCGTTTGAAATCTTTCATACCCCCAAATCCAGGACGCAGCCTGTTGTCATAACCATCGAGTAAGCTGTCCAGGATGCGGGTAAAATTTTCCGGGCATAATTTCTCCTCCTTTTGGTTTTGTCCTGGGGATTCGTTTAAACTGCAAACGCAAAAAAAAAAAAAAAAAAAAAAAAAAAGAGAGAGAGAGAGAGAAAAGAAAACGGCGTAAGGGGTTGTTTTAAGAATCGATTACAGAACAGGTGGAAACAGGTTTATCTTCTAGGGAAAGAGACTTTTGCCCCAAGCTACAAGAGGCAGGTCTGAAGGATGGGGGGACAGAGAAATGGTCGGGAAAGGCGCACCCTGAGCACACGCACCCCCAAACCCACACTCTTCTTGCACCCGGTGCCCCTTCTGCTCTCCGCGTCTACGCGGTCACAGAAAAGCCTAGCTTCGGTCCCTGACCTTACAGCGGAAACAGGAGGGTCTGGTTTGCCCTGGGAGGGGCGGCGGCCGGAGGGGGCTCGGAGCTGGCCACTTCTCCACCCTTGCCCCTCAGGACCCCAAAGAACTCACCAAGCCGCCAGGCAAAGGAAGTGCAGGAGGGCGAAACTGACCCGGGAGGACGTGGCGATCGCGGGTACCTTCTTGGCAGAAACCATCTTTGCAACATGCCATACTTTAAGCCTGTTCACGTTTCCAGGCTCTCAAGATGCCCTGAGCAGGGTGCGAGGCGAGGGCAGAGGCTCTCCGCGGCGTGCGCACACTCGCGCTCACACTCGCCCGCGCTCACACTCGCCCGCGCTCAGCCAGCCCGAGCCGCGGTGGGCGCGTGTGTGCACGCGGGCCAGGGGGAGGCGGAACCTGCCTTTCCTCGCCCCCTCCTTTTCTCGCTGAGCTCTCAATGTGTATGGAGAGCTATGTATACCGCTCAACACCCTTTCGTGCCCGCACCGTGGAGCCTCCGAGGTTAACCTCAGCGCGCTGGCACGGAAAGGCTGAGCGAGTTCTTCCCAACCTTGAACTCTGGATTTCCGCCCCTCCTGGCGTCCGCCGCCCCCAACCCTAAGCGGGTCCCCGCCCACAGCAGTGCCTAGCCTCCACTTTTCCCTCCGCCCCCCCCCCCCCCCCCCCCCCCCGCCGCTTCCTGCTGGGGTTTGGATTTCACCAACGAAGCTCCTCTCTCAGGTTGTCTGAGGTCCTGTTTTGTACCCATTTTCAAGGCTGAGGGGAAGGAGCGGGGGCATTAGGATGGCTGGGCGTGGGGACGGGAGACTGCGGTGAGCACAGGGGATCGAGGACGGACGGAAACAAACTTTGGGACTCTCCCCTTCAGGTGCTGGGGCGGAGTGGGGCGGCAAAGGAAAGATGATTCTTCCTGGTGAGAGAGAGGGGTTGCAATTCACCGGGCACGCTCGCGCCAAACTTAGCAAGTGGACTTGAGCCTCATTCTGTTCGCAACGCGTTTGCCAAGCTGTTGCTGTGAACATAACACATTCCTTTACTACACTCGCTCCCACCTGGCACACACACACGCTCAGCTCTGCTGCCCCATCCTTTGCTGGAGAGGAGAGGAGAGGTGAAGACGAAGGACGTCGGGCCAAAATCACTCTCACTTTTGGTGACACTTCCTGCTCTTTTCTTTCATGATAGAGCTCCCTGACTTCCTGCGGTTGACCGCTTTAGGGGGCAGGAAAGGATGGCTGTGGAGAGGCAGAGGAGAGACACAGAAGAAAGGCAAATGTGGTGGGGGGTGGGGGGTGAGGGGCTCAGTAGACCTGTTTAAAACGTTAATTATTGGTTCCAAGGGGAAAGGTGTCTTTCACATTAATAGTGATGCAAGTGGAAATTTGCATATGATGGACCAATGACCTAGGTGATTTCCAAAAAGTTAGTTCCCTGGAAACTGTCACCACCAATATTTATATTCTGTTTAGAACTTTGATGGTTTGTTCAAATTTGGATGACTACTGGGCTGATTTGACATGAAAACAGCAGGTTTTGTTTCAGTACCGTCATTAAAATTTTTCTTTGCAAAGGGGAAACCTTTCTGACCGCCCAAAGTGCTTAATCGCAGAGGTATGTATTCCGTGATATTCTATATTGTTTCCTTCATGGAATTTATTATACTTCATCCTAATTCTGTCTGTGTCATTCTTCTCTAAAGACCCCTTAAGGGTCTGGGCTGGTAATTATGATTTATCTGTGGATATTTTTTCTCTTATTACAGTGCCTACCACATAGTACAAGGACAATAAATATTTATTGAATGAACAATTAAACAAATTAATGAATTACCTACTCCCAGATCCATCCTAATTAATTTGGATGAAATTCAAACTTACTCTCATCGAAAAATGAAAATATTAGTGTCCTCCCCATATATGCCATGAAAGCATTTGTTTCCACAGACTCTACACATAAAAACTTATAATACATCATATTATTATATCACATTATATTATTTTTTCAATCTGAATGCTTTCTTATACTTTCAGAACAGAATTTTATTTTTTTCTTACAATATCCATTTGAAATATAGAGATAGATAGATATTGATATACACATATATATCAAAAAACAAATATAATGGCCTAAGGGAGAAGAGGTTTCATATTGTTAAAGAGAAATTATCTTTAAAATTTCAATTTTAAATATGTGAAACTAATACCATCCAAGGTATGAAAAGAAGATTTCCCCCTTCAGTGTAGCTACTTCCAATTATATTTTTGTTAACAGATGTATTTAAGATCAACTGAAGATAATAGCATAGATATATCATTTTATTTTATTTCATAGCCTTTCATTTATGCTGTCCTTTATATTACTTAAAGAAGTTATATGTTGGGTGTTACTGTCTGAAATCTTTAAAAAAAATTTTTTTTGTCACTAGGAATTTTAAATTAACCATAACATTAAAAAATTACAACTTACCAGAAGTTACACATATCATTAGATATGCTATTATTTTTATATAAATTTCTATCCATTCTGATTCAGATTGTGAGTGATTCCTGATTGCCTGTATATAACTGTACAGAAATATAAAGGTGTTAAAATTATACATATTAATTCCTTATTTAAAGTTAACAAAAGTCTTTCATTGCTATGCTTGATAGAGTTTGAATTAGGTTCAATTACATAACCCCCAAACATCATTATGTTAAGCCAGCCACATATTATAAATTTATCATAAAGCCTTATCTCTGGTATGGTAGAATACAAGTGAAATAGATTGCCCTAATGCTGAAGTCTTACCTCAGAGTACACATACCTATGAAATGCCCTAAAAATTAATACAAAATTTTGTATTCACATAAGTATGTGCATTTTTCTTTGAGGCTCTTTATGACTTTCATCAGAGTTTCAAAGGCTATGAACAATGATAGTACAGACTAATGTTTTAAAATAAAAGATTAAATATATAATAGAACAATCAACCAAATAGGTGGAAAACATTTGTAACCAGTGTGTACCAAACATGTCTATCCCATTTGATACCCTTATTCATGGCCAGTTTCCATAGACTGTTATGTAGATCTTGGGTCTCCATTGAAGGTACTCAGCTCCATTTGCTGTCAATTTGTCAAACATCCAATTAGCTTGGCACACAAAACTTTGGAGTGGTAATAAAATGAATTTGAAAGAATTCAACCTGTTTTTGTTTCCATTAATTGCCTCCCTTAATTTTATTTGTGTATATGCGTGTATGTTTTCAAAGTTTCTGAAAAAAAAATACTATTATCAAGTAACAGATTTTTTTTCTATATCTAATAGTAATGATTAGGAAGGGAAATTCATGTGTTACCAATAATGCCCCAAGTTAAATTATTGTTAAATTTTCTGCCAAGTGTCTGTCTTATGATATATACATTAGGTTGTCGCCTTCTTCTTCTCCTTCTCCTCCTTCTCCTTCTCCTTCTTCTTCAACAACAGAAATTAATTTTCTCACACTGAAGGCTAGAAGTCCAGGACCAAGGTGTCATCAAATTTGACTTCTTCTGAAGCCTCTCTTCTTGACTTGCAGATGGCCTCCTTCTCACTGTGTCTTCTCGTGGTCTTTTCTCTGTATTCATGCACTCTGTGTTCAAATTTCTTTATAAAGACACCAGTGCTGTCGGATCAGGGTTCACCCTAAAACCTCATTTTAATTTAAAGGCCTTTAAAAATTCCCTATTTCCAGATAAGGTCACATTCTGAGGCTCCAGAGGTTATGACTTTAACTTATGATTTGGGTGAGTGGGGGGACACAATTTAGTGCATAACCGTGGTGATCTTCCTTCAACTATATTTAAAACAAAATGAAAATAATATACATATAGTGCGTTTTAAAATTCACTAAGCCATAAAGGCAATTTGGACATTCTTATACGAATAGTAATAATTATGATGATAATAATCTTTATTATAATAATAGCAATTATCCTTTATTAAGTAGCTAATTTCATTCAAATCTTCAGAACAAATATTTATGGTTAGGTATTATTATTCTCATGTTATGAATAAACTGAAGCTTAAACATGCTGAGTAATTTGTTCATGGTGGGCCAAATCAATGGAAAGATCAAGATTTTATTCTTTGTCCCTGGAGGACTAGCTGGATAAAATGTAATTTTGTTGTTGTTGTTGTTTAATTTGACATAGACATATATTCTGAAATGATTACTACAATAATGTTAGTTAACCCATCCATCATCTCACAGTTATTTTTTATATGTGTGGTGAGACCATTTAAGATCTAGTCTCTTAGCAAATTTCAAGTACACAATACAGAATTGTTAACTATGTATAACAATGTTAGCTAAGTACGTCACTACGCTTTACTAGATCCCTAGGACTTATTCATCTTATAAACAGTTGAAAGTTCATACCCTTTGGTCAATATCACCCCATTTCCCCTACCTGCAATCCCAACCACCTGTTTTCTCTGAGTTCATGCAGCATTTGTCTTTCTCAATCTGTGTTGTTTTATTTCCAGAGCAATACCGGACTAATACAACCAAATTGGAAAGCCATTTGGCAATAGTTGAAGTTGAACATGAATATGCCCTATGATCAAGCCATCTCCTGCCTGTTTTATAGTCCATAGAAGTTCTCAAACATTGCAAGGAGGCAACTGAAAAATAGTACATTGTTTGTAATTGTGGGGAAATAGCAACAAAATAAAAGTCCTTTGATGGGAAAATGGACACACTGTATTATGGTATAAACAGAGTACTATCAGGTAATTAAAATTAAGAAAATCAGGTATAGGAGAAAAATAAGATAAGCAAAATAAGCAAGTGACAGAATAATACCTTCAGTAAAATATCATTCATACAAAATTTAAAACATGAAAAATAACATTGTTTATGGGTATGTATGTAGTGATAGAGAACCCACATGAAAAAAGAAACATCAAATTAAAGGCAATGGATATCTATGGAGAGGGAGAAAGGGGACTAGAATAGAGAGAGGAAATTGACTACTTCAATTATTTAAGTATTGGAGCAAATATGAAAAAAATCTTAAATATTGACAGATCTGGTGGTAGGGACTTGAGTGTTCATTATATTACTTTTTTCATTGTCCTGATCATCTATTGCTGTATAACAAACCATTGCAAACCTTGCTGGCTTAAAACAGCAATTTATAATGATCTCTCAGTATTCCTGGTTTGACCACTCTCATCCAGCGGTTCTCCCTGGAGATGCCTCAGGGAGATGCCTGTTGCAGTTACCTGGTAGCTGGCGCTGTAGTCATCTGAAGGTTTGACTGAGCTGGCCACTGAAGACAGTTTATTACTTCACATGACTGGCACCTTCGCTGGGACATCTGGAACAGTTGGAGGGTTGGCTGGATCTCTCTCTCTCTCTCTCTCTCTCTCTCTCTCTCTCTCTCTTTCTATTTCTTTCTCTGGCCTCCCACTTAATTAGCTTGGATTCCTGACAACATGAAGCTGGCTTCTCCAAAATAAACATTTCCAGAGTTGGGCTGAAACTGTAAGACTTCTTAAGAATAAGCCCCGGAAGTTACAGAGTACCACAACTACTGCATTCTACTGGTCAAATCAAGACGGGAACAAACCACATCTGTGCAGAGGAGATGCACAAGGAAATCGCTGGGAG